TTATTTCTCATTTACATTGAGTCAAACGATTTATTTCTATTATTTTGTCTTTGTTGAAACAACTTTCTCTCACGGTGTGTAAATGTCACCCACTCACTGAGAAAAAGGTTGTTTACATGTTTACATCACGACCACACGTAGCCACCGAAGTCAGAGTCGGTGTGCCGATCCGATTTTATTTATTTTGGGTTATTCGTCACATTTACCGGCTCCAGCTTGTGTCAGGGTTGTTTGTGAGATGCTCAGTGACAGACGGTCCATCACGGCAGCCATCTCAGTGAACTGCTGCTGCTCGTGTGTGTCTGTGTTGCTGCTGATATCTGCTCACACGGTTTGCCTTGGATAATGGCCACCGATATTAATAATAACGTTTTATTAATTTACTGATATTGTAATTATAGCCTCAACTTTCTCCTGATTTTAACACAATTGAACATTTTGTTTTTGAACACGTATGAATCTATAATCGGTCTGCTCCCTGTTCCCTTGGTCCCGTCCACAAACAGAGATGATTTACAAAGTTAGCGTGAGAGAACAGACTGAGATGGAGACAAATGTCCGTCCTGAATTAGGGTTTCAGTTCACCCCTGGTGCTGCTCGAAGCATTTTTAAGGGAGAATTCCCTTCGGATAACCTCTAACATCACCCTCGATAAGAGCTCCATGATTATCAGTGCAATCCATCCTGTTCTTAGAGCCAATTTATTAAAATCCGCGCTGAACTGGTGCTCGATATACCAACGGGAGCCAAACTAAGACAAGAGATTTCTCTTTGTCCCTGTTTATTCATTCATGAACAGGCGCGAAACAAGGACACACACTCTGCGAGATTTGTCCTTGTTTGTGCCTTTTCATGAATGAATAACTAGATCAAGGAAATTCCATTTCTCTGTTTCTGTGGGTGCAGATGGGGACTTGTTCTCGTAATGGTAGCGGAGCCTGGGCCCCGACGGCTGTGTGTTCGAGTGCTGTCAGAAGACACGACTGTTACTTAATGCAGGGAGGACGTCCGGGCACCTGGAGGGGCAGAGAGGCTGTAGCGGCAGGGTCTTCTCCCCTGGGACTCAAGGAGCTGTAATCTCTGTTGCTGGGGGCCGCACAGAGAATTTCTTCAGGTCAGTGCAGCAGCAGCGGCTGGAGGAGAGCGGTCGGTGGAACACTGGGATATTATCGACTTACTTTCCTGGCAGCGAGTGTTTGTGTATCATTGTGGGAGTTATTTCCAGGGGTGCGTTGGATTATCCACAGTGTGTCTGTGTTTATGTGCGAGAGAGGTTTGGAGTGTGAGCCAGTGTGTGTGTGTGATGCACCTGTGTCAAGTGGTATCGGCAAATTATTTATACGGGGTGTTTTCTCCCTGTGGCTGCCACATGGGTTCGAATATTAAATATGACACTTGCACCTATGTACAATTTGAAGCATGTGAACTGAGCTCCTGCTACTTTTAGGAGCATTTCAACTCAAACGACGAGATAGAGACATTTGATTTTAGTCGAACATGAGCAGCAGCTGAAGAGGTTGTGTTTTGTACCCATGTACAGAGAATTCTGCAAAAACTGCAGGATGGATTTCCATGAAACTTGATGGAGGGATGGGACCTGGTCCAGGTAGGAACCTATTGAATTTTGGGCCGATCCAGTTCCGTGTATCACTTTCTTCAACACTGTGAGACAAGGTAGTTAAACTTTCACTGATGTAATAATTCATGATATACGAGTATGTGCAGTTCCGTGCAGCCTGATGGAATTTGTGGGTCCTTACAGCTGAGGTATGTGCTCTACTGATGCCGCTCTAGTGTTTTAATTGTCGTTTGTTTGTCTGTCTATCGGCGGGATTCCTCAAAACTAATTAAAAAATCTCCGTGAAGTTTTGCGGAAGAACGAAGAATCCAAAGGGCAAATCCAGGATTTCTCTCTAACGTGGACAGGAAGGGCTTCAGGTGTTGGATGGTGGATTTACTCGTAGTTCTTTCAGTAGAAGTGTTGGTTATTATCTGGTGATTTACATCACCACACCGCTACCTCCCCTTAAAGTAAGTTTTGGATTTTAATGTTTCCCCTGCCTTTTTATATTAGAGTGACAGCTCACCTGGCCATGTTGTTAGCTTCACCCCACTGGAGAACCACTGAGGCAAAATCATGTCTTATGAATAATGTGCATGTATTATTTTCTACAAATCCGATAAGGCCTGTTCATGATGCCCTTGGATTTAACTAAACCCATTAAACCCCGATGCATTAGCGAGCAGAGATAATTCATGAGACTTGGACGCCGATGCCAAGGTTTAGGAAAGTTCCAGTTGTAGTGTCAGCGTGGGGTGGAAGTCAATACCATCTGGAGAGGAAGGTGCTCCTGCGCAGCTTTGAAATCCGCTCTGTTGCACAGGCCGGCCACACGAGACAGAGCAGTCCAAGTAGCAGAGCTCTTGTCAAAACCCAAACCTGAGAGAATCGCAGAGAAGGCTCGGTTAGACAGTTTTTTTTTTTTTTTTTTGCAAGAAGGGCTCATACAGTATTTATGCGACTGACTTCACTCTCGGCTCACAGAGCAGCGCTGGATATTGTGGCTAAATAACGGAACGGGGGTCAGTTAAGTTGAGCAATCAATCACTTTTCCTTAACAAAAGAGATTTTTCTTTTTCAATTCCCCCAGTCTGGAACACATTCATATTTAACCAGAATGTCTCAAAAACTTTAAAAAAAAAAAAACCTGCAGCACAATTTCATCCCTCGTCACCTGCAATCAAACTGAAAACCAGCTGCTCTCTGCGGCCGGTGCAGACATTCACACCAACGTTCTCCCGAGTGGTCGCTGTCACTCTTATCGCGAGAATCGGACATGATGAAGCGTCGTGCAGCATAAAGTACGCAGAGGTTAAAAAAAAAAAAAACTTTGGCTGGAGTTTTTTCAAGAGCTAAGCAGAACCTGCAACAGCTGCCGCAAAATACAGTTTGTCTGTTCTGCTGAACAATGAAAACAGTGTTTCTCTCCAGCTCTTGCACTTGTTCCAACTGTGTGTGGCCTCTGTCAGCACTGCTGGTTATTCATTGTGTTTCAGAAAGCTCATCAGTATGCACGCTCCCTCCCGTTCTGTGAAATCTGGCTTCATTTGTCGCCGTTTCTGTATGAGACCCGAATCCAATTGCTCCGGCAGCAGCGGTTGTTTGCTCGGGGCCTCTGGGAAAAGAGTCGTCGCTGAGGGCTGTGCCACCCACCGCATACCGCCGCTCACTTAATCCGAGCTGGAGCTGGAGCAGCAGTGTCAGCTGGCAGCGTGAACACTGTGCAGATGAGTTTCAGCAGGTGGTCACACTCCCCCCCCCCTCCTCCTCTCTATGCTCCCACACACTCTCTCCCCCTTTATATATCTCTGTCCCTCCATCTTCCCACGTCTCCGTCCCTCCCTCTGCTCTACCTGTCTGGTCCTCGGTGGTGTCGGCCTCGTGGATCTGGTTGTCAAACCACATGTGGGACACGGTCATGCGGTTCTGGGTCAGCGTGCCCGTCTTGTCGGAGCAGATGGTGGAGGTGGAGCCGAGCGTCTCCACGGCCTCCAGGTTCTTCACCAGACAATTCTTCTTGGCCATTCGCTTGGCAGTGAGAGTCAGACACACCTGGGAGGAGAGAGAATGGAGGGTGGGGGGGGAGGAGAGAGGATGGATGATTGTTGGTCAACAACGTGCGAGAGCATGTGTACGCACTGGTGCGTTCAAGTGTTTGTGCATGTGAAATCATGCGTGGTCCAGGTGCCTTACAGCAAATGTGGTGCTGTGTGTATTTGTGTGTATTTGTGTGTGTGTGTGCCTGGTTAACAGCAGGTGCAGAGGCAAATAAAAAAAAGATGCATAGACACATTCTATATGTTCAAGAGACATAGCAACATACATTAATTCTAGATGACCACATAACTCACGTGGAAACAGATGCAACACACACGAACATTTCCACTCACCGTGTTTAAAGAGAGAGCAACTAAAGAATCCAGCCACTGGAAGTTAATTTATTTTCTGTGACCACTGAAATGTCGACTGACGGCATTTCAAATGCCAGCTGGCATCCAGCTCAGCTCGTGCTTTGTTTATTGTTGCAGAAAAAGTCAGATGCACCTCAGCACTGGAGCCGCTTCAACATCCAGCAGTAAATCACCTGTGTTCTGTAGAATCATTTAATGTTCACTGAGGTTGAATTAGAGTTAGGAAATGCACGGGCGTAACTCTTAACATTGATGTTCCGTTCAGGTGAGCCATGACAGGGAGCCAGCAGGCAAAACATCAGGCTCCTCGGGCTGGCACGCTCAAAGCTGCACGGATCAATACTCTTAACAATGGATCAAATGGCTGTGAGAAATGTGAAAGCAGCTGCTCGATATGAAAACTCAATGAAGAATCAACATCCAGCTCCTCAGATCCGCTCAGTTCAACAGTTTTTACATGTGAATGGTTTGATTTTAAAGCGTGTGAAGAATCTGATCTAATCAAGTCTGGATCCAGCTCCTCACAGGAGACGTTATACTTCAGGTTCACTTGTGATTCATTTGAAAAAGGTTCACATGTTGAGAGAACACGTCGCTCCTCACGCTGCTCCACTGCTGCAGCTCCTCTTTTCAGCCTCTGTCTGGAACACTTGGTTTTAGCTCCTGCCTTTTTCCTCCGTGTGTGACATTCTCCCTTTTCTGTGGACTTCAGGCTTTTTAACTACACACACACACAAACTGAAGTAACGCACTAGAGAAGAGAGACACTGAAAAATCCTCAACCATTTGAAGGAGTGCAACCATTAATAACTGTGTTAGTCACATCTCTGTTTACTTTGCCTTCAGAAAGCTCTTTACTTGGCGCTAATTATACGATATAAACACAAAAGCTACGGATTCTACACAAAAACTGAACCCAACAACCTTTTTCATCCGACACAACTCTTTACTATCGCTCAGAATTAGTCAATAATTCAAAATACTTCAAATAGAAATATATGAAATTATCATTTCCAACAAAAACACGACTTAACCTTTTGTTTGTTCGAGTGCAGCTGCTAAATTATGACCTTTCCCCACGGCTTAGTTCACATTCTATTCCAGGAAGAATATGACCCTGCTACAAGGAGAACTTGTTTATATCGTAAACTGAAGTTCAACACACACACACACACACACACACACAGTACTCACAGTGACGGTGGCCAGCAGGCCTTCAGGCACGTTGGCCACGATGATGCCGATGAGGAAGATGACGGCCTCAAGCCAAGTGTAGCCCAGGATGAGGGACAGGATGAAGAAGCTCACTCCCAGGAAGACGGCCACGCCCGTGATGATGTGGATGAAGTGTTCGATCTCGATATTGATGGGCGTCTGGCGGACCTCCAGCTCGGACGCCAGAGTGGCGATGCGCCCCATCACCGTCCGGTCACCGGTGGCTATCACGATGCCGTGGGCTGTACCTGAGAGGGAGGAGAGGATCCAGTTCAGCTGTCTCCACAAACACATCTCAGGATAACACATCAAAAACTTAACTGAGGCGTTTAAAAAATTATATTTCCTGAGCTGAACAGATGATTAATCATTTCTTTGTCAGGGTGGATGTCAGTTTTTCAACAAAAAAAACAAAAAAAAAAATCTAAGCTAGCTCTTCAAATGTGACATCATGGGAGTACAAAGCAGAAGATTAAAGGTTGAACTGATCCGCTGTCTTCACGGCGCTCTGTGATGTGCGTGTGTTTCTCCGATCGGTGCGTAAAGAGACAAATGACTGATACGTTAGCGAGGAGGACTCTGCAGGGGTTGACTGCTGTATTTCGTAAGTAGGAAGGAGGGTTGATGGGGAGGTGACGGCTGGATGAGAAGCAGTGATGGATGGAGATGAATTACAGGTGTTGGCTGGTGATTGATGCTCAGGTGCAGCTGAACAGATGCTGGACTGAACGAGCGAGTGTGGAAAGAATCTGAATCTGTGAAAAGCACAAACTTTGTAATAGACGGGCTTTGTGATCAGCTGTTTTCACAGGGAATACATTCTCAGCAGTTTTAATGAAAACAAGACCCAAACTGTTTCTGGGGGAAAAAGATATTGTCAGTAGTTTTTTTTTTTTAGTTTTTTATATAATTTTGAATCCTGTGAACATCTCAAACATGATTTAATTTACCTCCACTGCAGTGGAATCAGAGATCACAGGGACATAGATTGAAAAACATCTGCATGGCTCTGCAGCAGAGGTAAGACAGAAAGTAAGAAATTAGATTAACGCAGCTTGTAAGGAAACAAAATCCCCCTCTATCTTTGTTTCTGATCCTGATATTCTTCATCAGCTAAAAATCTACATACATTTCTGAAATGACTGATTCAATTGTTTGATATGTTTTTTATAAGATGCAACTAGATCTACGGGAAAACAAGTGTTGGAAAAACTCTGAGATTTAAACTATGTGATGTGATCACAAGCTCCCAAAAAGCTACGGAATGGACTTTGAGATTGTTACCGAGAAATAAACTTTAGTACTTGATTGACAAATAATTGGATTTACAGGCTGTATCATCCTTATACCCAGAATTGACTCTCTCTCTATATATATGTAAATATTCCAACATTCAAATTCAGATGAAGATATTGATGAAGCTGCAGATTTTAATACGAGGATGCTATTGAAATGCTCACCGCATCACTGTTTGATGATTGATAGCAACTGAAATACCAACTACAATCCCCACTGGTTGCGTCTCAAAGGGAAACGCTCATTAATAATCTTTACGGAACATGTGATGGATTGTGCAGTGAGATTCACGGTTGGCTGCTGAGGCAAATCTGCACGTAAAAAAAATAAAAGAAAAAGAAAGAAAGAAAGGTATCATGAGGCGATAAGAGAGATTCCTGGCCAGATGTGGCCCACTGACCCTCGACACAGTTGGTGGAGTAGAAACAGATGTTGCGGGTCTCCAGAGGATTGTCGTTGGTCAACTCTGGGGAGCGAGTCTGGGGCTCCGACTCTCCCGTCAGAGAGGAGTTGTCCACCTTCACCGGGAGGAGAGACAAGTGTTATTCAGTGAAAGTGAGGGACAGAAACAGGAGAGAGCGAGGAGGTGGCCCTGACAGGGTGGGAATGAGAGGGGCAGCACTTATCAGCAACAAGTCCAGTGATGTAACACTCATGTCACAGACTCACGTCAGGCTAATGAGAGCCAGCAGCAGAAAACCTGAGAGAGACGATCATTTGCTTCTGTCACTGTTTGCAATATTTATAAAGAAATGGTCATCGAGTTCTGCTCCAGAAACAAAATGATTACATTTATTTTCCAAGGGGGATTAAAAAAAAAAAAAAAAGGTGATATTTTGTCCACCCTGAGTTGATGGTCATTATATTCAGGAGGGACATGTCCCGACCACAGACTGTGTAGAAAGAGAGACAACGCGTCCCCACTTCCTCCCACGTCCCAGATATTAGGCCAAATATTGTGGATTTAAATGTCTGGAACCAGAGTCTGCACAGAAGTGCATGGGGGGGTTGGGGGCCGCAGTGAAGTTCTGCTGATACACGCACTCCACCAATCAGTGAGTCAGTCCCAGACGTCAACAAGCTGTTTTCAGACAATAACTCTGGAGGTTTTCTGCAAAAATATTTTTTAAAAAACACCCATAATGCTCCTTGGCGAGAATTAATAGGGCAAAACCACACAACATGACTTCCTGGAATATTTTATCAGAACAATTAAAGATCCCTGTATTTTGATTTTGGTTTCAAACTGTATTATTTGAATCTCCGAGATGAGTTTACTTTCCCTCTTGTTTTATCATGTTTACTTTTCTACCTTTCTATTGACCGACACAAATAGTGAAACACTAAAAACACAAGATTTAGAGGGTGGAAGATTGGTTTACGGGGGGGATTCTCCACCGTCCCATGACAAACCTTAACTCCAGACTAATGCTCGTTGACCCGCCGCAGGCCGGCAGGAGCGGCGGTTGACTCAGTGATAAATGGTGGTGAACATCGTGAACATCCTCAGCTAATCTGTGATCATTGCTCAGACGTGCACTTTTATTAAACAGCTTCATCACCGCAGGAGAATGTGCCTCCCTGAGCCACAGAGACATTCATCTCCTTTAAAATTAGTGGGAGAAATATTCACTTTTTAATGCCGTCCATCCCCCTTTTCCATAAGTGGGTAAAGAGCAGCGTTAATACTGCATAGGGGTCATTAACACATGAACATTATTTACAAAGCAAATTAGACACAGTCGGTCTGTTTGTGTGTTAAAGTCAGGATTCTTTTTTTTTTTTAACAGCAGCCTGAGCAACACAAAGAGGAAACAGACGGATGAGCTGCAGGAACTCAGGTGAGGAAAAAACTAGAAAAGTTCATGTTGATGAGAGTTTTTCTCTCCAGTCGTCAAAGTGCCGCTCATCGTGGGAACTGTCGGGTTTCTCTGCACATGTCAGGGTCTTGAACTTCCATGTAAAGTGCTTTGAGATTACGTACGTTATGATTTGGTGCTAAAACAAATAAAATAGAATTGAACATTAAAAATAAATAGTGTTAAGTACATCTTCAATTATAGAAAGTATTAGTATGTGACAAGTGCAGTATTTGTTGTATGTACTGTTGTTTTTAGCCCCAGTATAGTAGCAAGTCTCAAGGGTCAAAATATCATGACCAAACTTTTTAATTATAATTAATTCTAATATTGTAGCTCAAAGTTTTCAGATAACCAGTGAAATATTTCCACATCAATAAGATGAACTGGTACAAACTATAAAAACACAAGTACACTCATTAACAGGATGCATACATTTAAGTGACTGTAATATTCAATGAAGCAATTTAATTATCCTGTAAAGTAAATATATACTTCCCTGTTTTATTATTTTACGGATTACAAATTGATTAATATTTCTAATTTGCTTGAACACCTAATGAAATAGTTTTTGTGAATTGACTCTTTTCTAGTGTGTATAGCACCAGGAAGGAAGAAAGGAAGAAAATGAAGACCAAAGTACGACTACTGTAATCCCACCGAGACCTCCAGACTCCCCGGCGCTGAGCCCTGGACCCCTCCCCTACCTTGCATCCGCTGGAGGAGATCACTCGAAGGTCAGCTGGGATGCGGTCTCCCCCTTTGATCTCCACCAGATCTCCCTGCACCACAAGCTCAGCATTGATCTGCATCTTCTCCCCCTCCCGGATCACCAGCGCTTGCTGGCATGGAGCGAAAGGAAGCGGGAGACAAGAGAGAGGGAGAGGGAGTGCGAGGAAGAGAGAGAGAGAGAGAGAGAGGGTTTGGGAACAGAGAGAGGATTTAGTCAGAGCAGGAGATAGGAGGGAGATTTTAAAAAAAAAGAGGTGCCAGAGGGTGTGGAGGTATATGTGAAAGACAGATAGAGAGAGAGGAGAAGGGAGAAGGGAGGAAAAAAAGAGACAGGTAGGGAAAAGGAGGAGGCATAAGGAGGGAGTGAAAAGAGCCTAAATAGATTAAAGAATTAGGCAATCAAAGTGCCAGAGGTGGATAACGTGAGGGGAGTTTTTATGCAAACACTCACAATCCGAAGTTGGCTCAAACATTTATTCTTCTTTTGTGCAAGCTTATTAGGTTTCCACTCAAGTGAGAGTGTAAGCCCCACTCGAGGGACGGCTTATTGATTCAGAAGCACAGCAACGACACCGAATGCATCAACTCACCTGAGGCACCATTTTCTTGAAGGAGTCCATGATGCGGGAGCTCTTGGCCTCTTGGAAGTAGGAGAAGCAGCCGGTGATGATCACCACGGCCGCCAGCACCACGCCCAGATACAGCTGGTAAAGCGGAGCCACAGGGGGAGACAGAGTCAGAATCGTCTTAGTTTGGTTGACGAGAGTCATGTTCGAGCTTCAGACTGGTTTTTAAAGAAGCAACAACCTAAGTGCAGAGAGTTAAGAGCAAAAAAACAAAAAAAAACAAAAGTGCAGATGCTCTCAGTCTCTGAGGGATTTAAAAGGAAAATCCATCGTGGAGCTGAATTCTTGTGTCTCTTCCTGTCACTTTGGACGTTTGATTCAAGGGAACATCTGTCACGCAAACCCAAGAAGACCAAGAAAACCGAGAGCGGAGAGTTTGATCTGCGAAGCCACCGAGAGACGCTGCAGCCTGACTTTACAGAATCACAGTTATGTGACAGGGAGAAGCATCTATTCTGGTTTCTTTATATTTTATTTTTGGTGAATATTTTCACGTCTAGCGGTGAAAAAGCTGTTCGGCTCTCGCTGATGCAAACAAGACACGGAGAGCATCAGCCGGAGCGAGGTGTAGAGTACGTCCTGGACTCCTGGAAAATAAAATCCTACAAAAACAACGGCTTGTTTTGCTATTTCACACTTGAATTACTTTTTTTTTTTTTTTATTACCATAGCAGCGAAAAATCCTCTGTACAAGGGGAATACATATCTATCCTCAGAATACAGTTTGTCAGTGTTTACAATATTTGCCTCGGCTTTACGATTCTGCTTCCTGCCTTGTTTACACGAGTGTTTTAACCAGATGTTAAGTCTCAGCTCTTTCGACTCCTCTTGCTTCAGGAGCTTCTCATTGTGCAGAATCATCAGAGTAACATCTGTCCAGACGGGTGACACACACTGAGAGTTTAAAGATTTGAAAGAATAAATGTACAGATTATCAGCATGGATTTTAAAGCATGTGAGTGTTTAGAGACAGCAGCGCCCCCTGCAGGGACACATGGCGTAGCCCCACCCATCCGTGATATTACAAATCCACCAAACTCTGTCTCTTCATATTTTAAAAGATTCCTGCTGAATATTGGAGATAAACTCTGGTTTTTTAATAACTTTCACAGTTCAGCTTCACTCTTCAACTTGCTGGACCTGATTCTGACACTTGAAGCTTCTCGCACATCTCGCAGGAGATCGCACCAGAGTTGCATGACACAGAGCAAGAAGAGGATTTTCAGGGTGAGGCCTGGGAATAAAAGAGGCTCCGTTCTTTCTTTTCCAAATCAGTGAACCATCAAACCAATTTTGAAGCTTTTAAGATTAAGCAAACTGCAGTGAATTGTGTCATTTCAGCAGGTGGCGATGATCCGATAGGCAAAAAATCTTTCAGCTCAATTAACACATGAAAAATAATGAGAACAAAGCTACATGAAGACAACAACAATGTGTAAAGTCCTGTTAGGCTGGATTTTCATCTCAACTAAACGTTATGCAGAGGCTCAAAGTGCCAGAGCTGCAGGCAGTCGGGGCTTTGAAGTCGCTCGGCAGAGCATCCAGCCGCTCACTGCTCTGAATATAGAGATTAAATCACGGGGAGATTAAAGTTACTACATGCGTGCGTGTGTCTATCTGTATGTTACTGTAAATTACGTAAGGCTTTAATACTGTCGGAGGTTTGGAGAGTGTCGAACGATGATTACATAATGAGTCCTAATGCTGCCATAAACTGCAGCATGGATAACTGTATGCTAATGCCAGAGTCAGATTCAGATTTTTTTAATGTCACACGCTCGGAAATTCTACATTTAAGAGAACGAGATGTTCAAATGAATTTTCCCCTGCGTTGTTCATATGATAAAGAAATATGTTTTGTGATTCTTATGTTTTTTTATAGGTTAAGGTGATGGTAGAAAGTTGATGTATTAAGGCCCCGTGGTTCACGCTGATGATCGCACACACATCTGAATAAAAACTGAAATGAGCTGTTTAAGATCAGTTACCTTGAAGATCAATTCCTCTCGGAAGAGGTTCATTCACAGCCAATGTCAAAATTATACAGGCTGCTAATGAACCATGATGGAGGTCAGCTGCTCCGTGTGAATGTGATTTAGAAATGTAGAAGCTCCGGAGAGAGTTGAGGAAGAAACAGATGAAATGATTTTATCCTTCCTTCGCCTCTGAGCAGTTGAGGTTGATGGGGATTGTTATATTTTGGATTTCTTCAGATATAACACACCCACAACTGGTGCTGCGTGAGACCGACATACAGCAACTTACAGTGAACTCAATGAAAAAACACGGGATAAAAGCTTTGGAGTTTTTAAAAAGAAAATCTTTTTGCAAATTAACCAACTTGTTATGTAAGGTTTGTGGTTAGATAACGCGAAGCTCCAACAAAGACAGAAACATTTATACCGATTCTGAAAGATGACTCGGTGATAAGATGATTAGAAGTTGAATTTGCATCGCTTGTGTCCAAACAATGAGTTTATGATAAATAATAATCTGTAAATATAAACTGCCTGCACTCTTATATCCATAACAATCCTTGCAAAGCTGCATCTGTGTGAATAACATGCACTTTGGCATTTTCTCTACAGTCAGTTTCTCACGTTGTCATTGGGCGGCTCGTCCTCCGTGGCCACCTGGATGCAGTACGCCAGGAAGCAGAGGGTAGCACCGATCCAGAGCAGGACGGAGAAGCCGCCGAACAGCTGACGGCAGAACTTGACCCACTCCGGGGTGGTGGGTGGAGGAGTCAGGGAGTTCGGACCGTCCCTGGCCAGAATCTCCACAGCTCTGGCGTTGGTCAAGCCCTGGGAGGAGAGCAAATGGAGAGAGCTCATTTTCAGGAGCGAGAGTCATTGTGTCTGTGCTGAGAGTCTTATTACAACACAACAGTCCCATTTTCTCTGCAGCTAAAAAGGCAATTTGACGGCAGTTGCAGAACATCAAGTATTCCTGCCTGGCCTATTTAAAACCACATGTATAATAAACTGGATGACTCCTCTCTTCGAAAGTGCTCGGCCATACAAAGGCTGGATTTGACTCCACTGAACTTTTTTATTTCCACAATTTAGTGCTTTAAAAGGTGAAATTCAGTGAAAATCTATGTTGAAGCTAGAAATGTACTCGATTCGGAAGGTTTTGCTGGATTCTTGAGCTCTCCAGCTCCCATGTTTTCCTCACCGCTACTATTAAAAAGATAAAATCTGTTTCACCGCAGCTGCAATGTCAAAGTCAAGGTACACAGTGAACGCGGCCGCAGCATTAAGACTGTTGTGATGGATCGGCGTCGGCCTGACTCTGGGATTTTTAGGAGCTTGTGTATGAAAATGTTTATGTTTATGTGTGAGGGAGGGATTAAAGATGAAGAAGGCTCAAGGTGAGCTGGATGTTGCTTTCAGGTACAGGGCGTGTGGAGATAACATCTCTTTAAAGGGATGGTCTGCTCTTTGTTGTGTGTTTGTGTGAGAGCGTGCACGTGAAAATGTGTGTGTCTGTGTGCGTGCGTGTCCTTACCCGTGTGAGCTCCACTCCATAGCGTTTCCCCAGATCGTCCAGAGGGATTCGGTGGTCATCCTGCAGGGAGGGAAATGTTGCTTTTTGATTTTCAGTGGAACGGGATCAATAAACTGTATCAGAGGATTTTAACTGGCCGGTAAAAATTATACTGTGATACATCATGAATCCTACAGCACGACATTCACCGTCCTTTTATAAAAATCAGAGCATTTCGGAAGCAGCTATAAAGGGAAGTTGGTTGAAATGGTTGAATAGATCACAAGGGCAGCGGTGGGATATAAAAAAAGTACATTTACCTTTGGGTACTACTCACTTGTAATACGTTTTACTTCAACTTGAAAACATGTTTGTCTATTTATTTATACTCTTACTTACTTATAATGTTTGAGTACTTCCTCCACTGCTGCAGGAGGGTGTACTGATAAATTCAGGAGCATCTTCCAGCAAAAAAAACAACATTATTCTCTCTCGTGAGTTCAGGGGCTTTAAATGTATGATTCATTCCTTGTGACATATCAAAGAGGTCAAAGAGTGAAGCCCGCTCTCCCTGCATTTCCAAGTACAACTGGAACCGAGGTGAGGAAACCGTCGTGAAAATGTGACCTGATAAAACTGCAAACGGAGGAAAATCCGCCCAAAATCAGCAGTTTTATTTCTCTTCAAAAGTTCATGCTGATGTGTGTTGTGTGTATTGTGTTGTTGTGTATTTTTACATTTTTAATCCTCTGGCCTGAGAGCTTCCTCAAGATTCTGTTTTTAGTTTTTCAAAATGGAGCTGGGTGCCAGAGAAACCAGAATTCAGCTGTCAGCTGTCAAGTCGGTCCCACGGCTGCTTCTCTCATTCCACAGCGACACAGGGACCAGTTTTCTCACCTACAGTCGCCTCCAGCGGACGACAGTGGATTGTAGCTGCACGTAATGTTGGCCGCAATCAAAGACACGCCCCAGTGTTCACGGAACAGTTTGCTCGTTAAGCTTTGTTTATAAGCCCCTACACCCAATATTGATCATCCATTGTCTGGCAGTTGTTAAAAGGATCTCTGGGTAAAAAATAAATAAATAAAAAAGTTGGAAATCACAGAGTGAGGAAGTAGTTCACGAGGCAGAGAGATCAGTTAATCACAAAACTACTGCAAAATGTTGACGGTATCCAGGGAATCGTTCTCTTTAATCAGTCACGGGCCAACTTGATAATTGACACGAGCTGCTTTATCAGAGATAGAGCGAGCAGCAGAACATACCCCGGCCTTCATGGGCATCGCTTGGCTGCGTTTTGACAGCAGCTCAAAGAGCTACAGCTCTGCACAAGACAAAAACTCTGCACTACACTGCTGGTGGCCCACAAATTATTCAGTATCTTTTGGAGTACAAAGAAGAGCAGCCAGAGGGTGGTAGAACAGATAGGAGAGGACAGGCTGGCTGAGAACCCGTCTCAAACTGACTGCGTTAAGCAGGCTGGTTTGCCATTTTGTTTACGGGCCACTGTTTTCATTCATAGCCTTGTTCAATAACCTGGTGACTTTGGCGTAACACTATTTGGGCATCGTTCGGGAGCAGCGGCGACGGAATCAATCACGGTGCGGAGTGAGTGTGAATAGCAGCGGTGACAGCTTGTTTTTCTTACAAAGGCCACTTCCTTCTTCAGCTCATCCAAATCCCTGTCCTTCTTCTTCCTCTTCCCTCCATTCTCGGCACCACACTGCAGGGAAAGAGAGCAATTACCATACAGCCAGGCCCGTAGGATCCCAAACCCCCACCGAAAATAAGTGGGGAAAAGTCACATGCTTGTTAGTCTTGCAGATCCCAGCCATTTACATTCATACCCACGTATTACATGTGTCAATATGAGCACAATGGACTTTGTGTAGGCTGCTTAATTTCACTCTCCTGGCACTATCGGCAAACTATTCACTAAACACTGAAGGGGAAATATTTATTCTCATGATACGAGCTCCTCATTTGTGCGAGTGAGAGAGAGTGTGCGTCACCGACAGATGGAAGAATGGTGCATCATGGAAATCATCTGCTGCTGTCAGTCTCCTCTTAGCAGCACATGTGCATGTCAGTGAAGGAAGGATATACAAAGAGATTGAGAGGAGAGCGGCGAGCGAGTGACACAGTGAAAAAGTAATCAAAAAGAGTCAAAGAGGGAGCAGGAGTCGGTGGAGTGCCTGAAATGTGTCTGGCATAGCAATTTCTACCCGCTGTGCGTTAGCACAATTATCAGCCTGTCCTCCCATAAAGGTAAATGGAATCGGCCTGATGGAAGGAATAAAAGCAAAATTACGTAATTACACAAATAAACGACGAGCCCGGAAATAAAACTTATTGGGGGAGAAAAGCCATCAGCCGGAGATGTTAATCTTTACAGAAAAAAAACTAAGTAGCACTCAGAGAGACACGGAGCCATGCGGCCGCATTCAGAGCAGCTCAGTAGCTTTCCACGAGGCACGTCCGCGCCATATGTTGCAACCGTGCACAAGTTAGAGAAGCAACGTCGTCCACTCAGATAACACAATAAAAAATTATATATGTTTATAAAAAATACGTTTATCAAAGTTGATTTATTTTTAAGTTAAGCAAACTTACCCCTCTCCCCATGCTGGACGTCCAGACGTCGGCAGGTCGTAATGTGAAGGACAGCGCTCAGGGGCCCCATGCCACAGCTGAGACCCCCCCCCCCCC